GCTGTTTTTGCATCACCTCAAAGTTTTGCCGGGGGCTTTGCAAGCATTTCTCTGCAAATACCGCAGGCAGAACCGCGGGTGGAGGCGCTTGGATGTGCTTTTCTGAGCCGCGGGGTTTAACGAGAGCCGCCTTTTACTTGAAACACCCCGTTTTCCCCACGATCGCGGCGTCGGGGAGGGAAACTGCGGCCCCGGGGGCGACGGCTGGGTGCTGGAGGGGGAGAGCGCTGGCGTTACTCACACCCCAGCTGCATTTGAAGAAGAGGAAGAGCCGGGATGGATGCTCTGACCCGACGGGTGATGCCCTGCTCCCAGCTCGCCCCTGCCCCCTCCACCTTTGCGAGAGGAAGGGACTTGTGGGCAGGTCAGGCGAGGTGGACGGCTGGGTGTCTCCTGGGGTGGTGGGCGCCGTAGGCATTCGCTGGCGTGGCCAGGAGCCCGTGGGACCTGATGCCGCGTGGGTCCCGCGCCTCGCTTCATGCCAAGCAGCAGCTGGCTTGCTTACCTCGGCCGTGGGAGGTCACACCTTGCTCCCGTTTGTGGCTTTGGGGTGGTTTTCCGTGTGTGTAGGCAGGATGCAGGAGCAAAGGTATCGTGACCCAAACTTCAACTCTTGCTGAGAGTAGAAAAAGAGGTTAAATTTCTGTATTCAGCCCAGCTGTCATGCCAGCAGGCAGCAATTTGGAAACACAGTGCTTGGGAGCAGATGTGGATAGGGGCTGGGCAGGAAAACCCTCATTTTTTGTTGGTTGAAACCTGCAAGGAACAGGTTGGTCCTCCTGGGGACCTCCTCCCCAGGGCTGCGGGCGAGCGTCCCTCGGTGCCTTAGTTTTGGAGCGGGGAGCTCAGACGGGACCCCGGGAGGTAGAAATGGGGAAGATGCTCTCTGGGACTGGCCAGCCGGCCCCTCGCTGCAGGAAGCACGCCTCGAGCGTGCAGCTGTGGTTTCGAGCTGGCAAATGGTACTTATGGGGGCTGGATGGATAAAGAAGGAAGGAAGGGACCAAGAGCAGCAGCAGGGTGATGGGCAAGGTTAGAAAAGGAAGTAAGTGAGCGCAGAGAAGATAGTGTGGATGTGAGCGAGGGCACAGATGGGCATTCAGGTGAGGAACCTGCCCTCCCTGCCCCACGGTCCCCGCCGTGGTGCTGGTACACCATGGCCGGGCTGCCTTTCCCCCCACCCTGGTGCCATCCCAGAGGGGACGGGTGCTCCTGGCCCCAGGAGAGAGGAGGAGGGCAGCGGGTTAGTGGTCAGCGCTGGAGGAAATGGGCTGTAACCACTTCTTGCTCTGGCTTTAAAGGGAAATGCCTGGCAGAGGCAGCAGGGTGGTTGCCCCGG